TTTCAGTGGAGAGAAGGACATTCCTGCAAATCCAGAACTCTCTAACAGGCAGCAAGCAGTGGTAGCTCTGAGCAGTGGCCCAAGTTGTTTCCCACTCAAACAAATGAAATTTAATCTGAAGCACTTCAGTCACTCTCTCTATGACTGAATTCAGCACCAATGTAAACGAGTTTACCTTTGGGAAAAGGTCAATAGAAGCGAATATTTTAACAGAAATTCCACGCAGAAGGAGAGCTTGAGGAAGCCTGGGAGACGCTGCATGTATATTTATACACTAAAAATGCCAATACACCAAAGAACCTCTTTGTGGTTGGTTAACTTGCTAACCCTTGAAATGTTAAAAACAATGCTCACAGAATACCCCACCCCTCTGAACAAAGGGCTTCAGTTTGGTCCCTTTAGGGGTTTGTCCTTCCTTCCTCCTCCTCCAAGGAACAAGCACTCCACAAAGGCAGTTTTCCAGACAGGGGTTTCTGAGGGAAGTGAGAGAAGATACTCACAAAGACTTTATCCCCAACCACATTTTCCAGCTGCAGCTGCCTGGTGATCTCCTTCAGGGCCACTTTATCACTCGTCTGCAGGAGCCCTGAAAGAAAGTGATGTTGAGGCCACAGTAAATTGCTGAAAGCAAACTGTGTACAGAGAATGTATATTCAGTATATGCAGTATTAGAACTGGATGTAACATAACACTGGATCCATGCTGAATTACTTGCCATTCAGGTGAACTTCCAACAGGTTCTCTCTTACTTGTTTCATTTCCCTGAGGTCTTTTAAGACGTGATTTAATAACTAGGAAGAAAAAAAAAAATACAGAAGATTAATTGCCACTGGGTTTATCCACTCCTTCCCCACCACCAGTCCCTGGTATTTTGGGGGTTATCCTTCCCCTGGAGCATCTTGGGGAAGAGAAAAAGGTGACAATACTGGTCTGGAAATGCAAAATAAGTGACCAGCAAAGTGGCAGGGTGACTGGTGTCAGCCTGGGTATGTTTAACAGCTATTAACTTATTTCTGTTGAACTTATTTAAAAGCCTGAAGGCCACTTGCTTTAGCACTTGGGGAGACCTCCAATGGCATTTTCCTAATTGTTCCACCTTGAATACCTCCTGCAGTAAGAGCCAGTCCATTTAGCACAGTAAGCACTGATGGGAACACAAAAGACTTGGAGTGATAATACTGAAGGATAAAACACTTCAGTTCCCTGTCGTCCCTTCACGTGCCTCAAATTAAAGGGGGTTCCTTTAAAAGACAAACCTACAGCTTATAAACCACAGCCACCCATATATGTGAGCCATCTCTTTAAAAACAAGCAGAGATGGAAATGCAGCTCCAAGAGCTCCCCAGGATTTCACTGGGGTCGTGCAGCTCGTGCTTAATTTGTTGAACTTCCACTGGGTGTTCCTACCGTGGTCTTCCCTGATCCTCTGGGCCCAATGATGAGGGCAGAATTACTTTCTCCATGCAAGGTGGTTCTTTTCAGCAGCTCCAGCAAATGCCTGTGATGGAAACAGCGACAGGATGAAGGGAAAACAGTCACTGAAACTGGGGAAAATACAGAGAATCAGAGAAAAGTGGCTACACTTTCAGCTTCCTCTCAGGGCATGCAAAATGTGATACAATGAAGCACAGAGGGCTGAGTGATCAGAGCTCTTAAAACAGTTTAAAACATCAAAACCCGAAAGAAGCTGAGAGTATCACTAATTCATAAAGCTCTGCAGTTCCCCACCACCAAAGGACAGAATTCCACAGTTAGGTTACACTACACTTTTCATTCAATGTTACTTTCTCTCTCCCAAAAGAAACCGGAGCTCCCATCAGGTGACTCCACTTGCACAAAGTTGCTCTTGGGGAAAAAACTGTTAAAAACAATTTCTTCAGATACATGGTTGCTGTTTTCAGGCTTTGACCTGCACCTGGAAGATGTTTAGCACTGTGGCGGTAACACTGTCCCAATAAGTCACCTCCTCCTAACTCTGACCCCAAAAGGCGGGTTTGTTTTAAATACAAGTTTCCACCTCAAAAAACGTGATGTGGACACCCAAAGTGTCCAATTTAGTTTCAGAACAGCTTACCAACAAACAGGAGAAAACATGAAGTGAAAATAAAGATTCACAGCAAGAGAATTCGACTTTTTGCTTGGCCAGGCCATTAAGCAAAGCCTTAGATAGCGCAGTAAAAATCAGGTTCAAAAAAAACAACCAAAAAAACCCACAAAAAAACAAAACAAAACAAACAAAAAAAAGGCTTCCAGGAATTACAGGTGTGTGAAACAAGGACAAGAAATCCAAAACTCAGAGCCTGACAAAACCAGCCAGGAACAGTTGCATGAAACCCCTTAAAACCTGAGGCAAAGCATTTTTAGCAGCACTGTGCTGCAGGTCATTGAAGCCAGGATAATTCTGAAAAAGAGATGCAGCAGAAGATTCTGATTTCACTTGTTTGGTTTTTTTTGTTTTTCCTCCTGTAGTTCAATTAGAAATGACTCGGTACTTGAGGCTGCTCACTCACCTGTACTGGTGCTCAACCCCAAACAGCTTCCCAGTAGCACTGGAGTGGGGACAGAACCTTTCACGCAGAATTTGTTGCACCTGCAGAGATAACACAAGGAGAGTTTTTAGTGCTTGAAGCACCAGGATGTTCCAGCAGTAAAATAACTGTGAGATATGCACGTTTGCAGTGTCACAAATATTCTGTAACATGTGAATATTTACTGTCACCAATGACACAGGGGCCTTGAAAGCAAAAATAAAGTTGCAGTAGGCAGAATCTTGTATAAATATTACATAAAAGAGAAAACACAGGTAAATTATGAACTGCTTTCACTTGAAGGAAACAATCAGGTGAGAAGCTGAAAGAAGGACAAAAGCAATTCACAGCCCTAGAAATTACAGCCAGTACCTGTACAAGTCTTTTTTTTAAAAAAAAATGGAATTCCATGGGTGACAGAGGATGGAAAGGTTCCCTAACTGAAAACCAAAGTCGTGACTGAAGCTGTTACTGACCTGTGAAATGCACTCAGCACTCACTCCACAGGTCTCCTTCAGCTTACGTTTACTCATTGCAGATTTCATCTTCAAAGGAGACAGAAAATTAAACATTACATTTCAAATAACGTCCACCAGAAGGTGTACTTCGATGGTGGCTACTCTGAAGGACTTAGAACTGCAAAGAACATCTTTTCTTAACAAATAACGATGCAGCGGCTTGCCTTGCCGGACCCAAAACACTGAAAGCGTTTTTGATTCACTTTTGCTTAATTTTAATTCGTTTTAATTAGCATTTAGGATGCTTTGGATAACAATGACCGCAGCATCTCTCTGGATAAGCTGGCTCTGAAGGGGACTTGGGGGCTTGTGAGGACCCTGAGAGGGCCCATGAAGGGTCTGGGGGGCCCACAAAGAGCTGGGAGGGAGGGCTGTAGGAATGGGGGTGGGGCAGGTCTAAGGGAGGGATTTTGGGGGTTTTGTGAGGACCCTGATGAGCAAATGGGGGTCCCTAAGGGGCTTGGAGGTCCATGAGGAGCTTTGGCGGGGCTGGGGAGTGGGAGAGGCTCTGAGAGGAGGATTTGGGGGGGAAGACTGAGAGGACCCATAAGGGAATGGGGGTCCCTAAAGGGCTTGCAGGGATCCATGGGGGGATTGGGCAGGGTAGGAGCTCTGACGGGGGGATTTTGGGGGGGCCAGAATGGTCTGTGAGGACCCTGACGAGGGGCTGGGTGTGGGGAGCGGGGGAGGTTCTGAGAGGAAGGATTTTAGAGTGCTGGGAGGGTCTGTGAGCACCGTGAGGGAATGGGAGGGTGCCCTAAAGGGCCTGGGGGTTCCCTGAGGGGCTCGGGAGGGCATCCCTGGGCGTTCTGCCCGCCTCACCTGTCCCGGCCTCACCATTCCCCGCTTTTCCCCTCACGGCGTTTTCCCGCCTCTCCTCCCTCCCCTGAGGGCGGGAACAGCCGCACAGCCCCCCCTCAGCCCCCGCCTCGCCCCTCAGACACCCGAGCCCCCTCCCCGCCAGCCCTTGCACTCCCAAAACCTTCAGAGCCGCCTTCCCTCAGAACCTGCGCCCCACGGAGCCTGTGGGGATGGAGAAGGGACTGTGGAGGACGGGCAGGGGGCGCATTCCCGGCTCCCCGGCATCCCCGCCCGGGCTGGGGGGAAAGGGGGGTGGTGGTGGGGGGCTGTGCTCACCTACCCTGTGCTCATCCGCACACCTTTCCCCCGATCCTCTCCGCTGTCCCCTCACGCCACTTTCCCGCCTCTCCTCTCTCCCTCCCTCCCTCCCTCACCTGAGGGCGGTTCCTGCCGCGCTCCCATCGCCCCGCGCGCGCCGCCCCCTCACATCACCCCCCGCCCCTCCCTCTCTCTCTCTGTCACCCTCTCTCCCTCCCTCCCTCCCCGCTCTCCCGTCACTTCCTCCCCGTCCACTTCCCCCTCCCTCCTACCCCCAAATCCTTTTTCCCTCCCCCTCCTCCCCTCATCCACTTCCTTCCTCCCTGTCCCGGATCCGATTCCGGGAGCGGCGCGCGCGGCGCTGTGGGAAGTTTGTGTGTCCCCCCTCCCTCACCCCCCGTTCTCTCCCCCCCCACTCCGCTCCCTCCCATTCCCTCCCCGCGGCCTCCCGAGCTCCCCCGGGGCGCATGCGCGGTGGCGGCCGCCGCTGCTGCCTGCCCTCCTCTTCCTCCTCCTTCTGCTCCTTCTCCTCCTCCTCCTCCTCCTCCTTCCCGACAGCGGCGGCGGCGATGAGGAGGAGCGCGGGGGGGGGCGGCGGCGGGACGGCCGGTGGTTCGCGCCGCTGAAGAAGGGACACGCACACCCCACACACACACACACCTACACACACACACACCACACACACCACACACACACACACACGAAGAAGCAGCGCCGAGGCGGGGGCGGGGGGCCCCGAGTCGCTGCTTCCCCCGCGGCCCCGCCGGGGAGTTTCTTCCATATTCCCCCTCTCCTTCCACACACACACACACGAACGCACCGAGACCCACCCCCCCTCAACCCCCGTCCCTCGGGGCGGCCCCGCGGAGCGCCGCTCCCTCCTCCTCCTCCCCTTTATTACCCTTTGTGTGCGTCTCCGCCTTCCTCCCCGCGCCCGGGGGGCCCTGAGGTGAGTGCGGGGGGAGCGGCGGCGCGGGGGGGGTGGTTTGTTTACCCGCAGCTCACCCCGCTGTTTGCCCCCGGGGGCCCGGCCTGTCACCCTCGGCCCCTTCCCGGCGCCCCCCGGCCCAGCTTTGTTGTCGGGGGATGCTCCGGGGATGCCCCTGCGGGTGCGGGGGGGGCGATGGTGGCAAAGTTCGGGGCGGTGCTGAGTGTCCCCAAAGTGGTGTTTTCCCGGGATAACACCGAGCCCCCGGGCTGCTCCCCTTTTCCCCCTGCTCCTCCCCCGGCCTCCAGGCCGTTGTTTGACTTATTGTTTGAGTTATTAAGGTACAAAGACCACTTGTACAAAGACCCTCTCCCGCAGCTGAACTTCCAGGGACAGGCAGTCCAGGGGCTGGGCTCGGTGTCTGCGGGGTCGGGGGGTGGTTGGTGGCAGCCCCTGGTTTATCCCTGGTGCCCGGCTATATTTGGGCAATGGTTTGTTCGGATATATATGTCGGGATCTTGTTTTTCCGTGGCTTTTCTGGCTGGGAAGGCCAAATGTCTCCATCAGGTACCGCTGGCGGTCTGACCTGACCATGTTTTCTGCTGGTTGCGTGTCAAAATGTCTGAAATAGGTTAAAAATGCGGTGGGTTTAAATGTCAAACTCGATCCTGGGCTCGAGGAAATGTTGGGAGAGGCCTTTGCAAGGATCCAGGAGTAAGAGTTGGGACATTAAGGCCAAGTTGGAATCGGAGTCCTCTCCACAAGTAGGATGTTTATATTAAAATTGCTGTTGTCTGCTTATTCCTGGGGCTTAATTACGTCCTCTGTAATTTCAGAAAGGCGGTTTGAGTGCTTTGGTTTGTTTTTGGTCAATTAAGTGCTGGATGCTGGGCCATGGAGTAGGCCATGGTGTGTATTCTAGAGGGGCATCCCGGTTGGATGGTGGTCAGCAGGGAGTGTATGTCATCCCTGGAGGATGCCCACAAGAAAGGGCCCTCCTGACGTGCTGTTGTGTCTCCCATTTCTAATTTGTGCATCCGTGCCCTGTGTGAAGCAGCAGTTTTGTGATCAGGCTGGGGGGAGTTGGCGAAATCCTTGATTTGGTGGGCTGGGAAGGATGGGAGGAAAACAAGAGTTGGGCTGATATTTTGACAATGTTGTGGTGAAGAACTGAAGGCAGCAGCCAGGGCTGTAGTTCTCTCTAATAGTTTGCCATGAGTTTTCTTTCTGCTTGTACTAACTTTGGGTTTAAATGTGAAAAGAACATCGATAATTATCGTTAAAAGCTGCAGACCCGCGTATAAAAACCAGTTCTTGGAATGTGTGACTCTTTCAGCTTTCTACAGGCAGGAGCTGGGCAGCAAAAGCCTGTCCAAAAGAGCAGGGGATGTAATTTCCTTTTTGTGTTTCATGACAGTGCTGCTTTTCTTAACCTGAGATCCCATTGATCTCCTTCCATCTGCCCATGGAAACCTGGAGCGGCTCTGGGATTTTGCTCCCCGTGAGTGTGGAGCTGCAGCTCTGGCCCCCAACTTCCATGGCCTACAGTGATGGGATGCCTTAATTACTGCAGGGCTTTAACAATCTCTCTGTGTTTGTGTTTCAAATAGGTATGGTTTGGTTTAGTATGGCGGCACAGTGAAATTCCCAGAATTCTGAAGCTGGGCAGGATAATTCAGGGTCTTCCTGTACTTGAAATCCCAGAGAGAAAATTTGCTGATAAAGCTTCACTTCCATAGGCCTCCAGCTCCTGCTGGAAGGACAGCGGTGGATTTGGGAGGACTGGGGAGTGAAGGTCCCTCTGAAGGAGCCACTGGGTGGGACTGGGATTCTGGGTGGTGTTGGGGGCAATTCCTGCAGGACCCACAAAGGGGTCTCAGGCTCATCTGGGGCTTCTGGCTGCTCTCACAGCCTCCCAAGAGCTGAAGGAACTGAATCCCTCAACCTGTGCTAAGACAGACTGTGAATCAACAACAGCTACAACTCAAAGGCGACAGTTTCCTTTTATTTGGGTTTTTGAGCTCTTTTTGCTGCTGTTATCAGTAGGGATTTACAGCTGGCAGTTGCTTGTAGGAAAACTTCGTGTGGATCTTCCAGTTCTTTACCTTCTGAGAGAAAATGAATAATGATTTTCCTGTATTCCTGGTCAGTGGCTTCCCAGACTCTTGGGGGGGCAGATTGTTTGGAATTAGCAAGGACCTATAAAAATGCTGTTTGGGCCTGACTTATATTTGTCTTTAGCAGTGTTTCCTTGGAGTTTGCTGCCTTACCTTCCTCCCTTTGGGGGATGAACGTGCTGGTGTTACTTGGACTGGGCAGCAGGATGTTTGAGGATGTTTATGATGCAATACTTGGAGGAATGGAACTTTTCTTGCAGTCCTGTGGTTCTTTGCTCGTGGAGGGCTCGGTCTTCCCTTTCCTTGTTGAAAAGCCCTGGAGATCCTGGCACAAGTCACACACAGCCCAGGTGGAACGCCGTGGTTTTCAGTGGGTCATTTAATTCCCTTTGTCAGGAGGATTTATTTAGTTTCTCCTACTGCTGCTCCTCGTTTGTGGCAGATGAGTGGCTGCTGTAGAGTCGGTAACTCCGAGTGCTTATCCTGGATGTTCCTCCTGGGAAGCAGCAGCCAGGTGGGAGGCCCCTCGTGCCCATCTGGAGCCCCACTAATGTCCCAGTGTCTCCACGAGCTTAAGGGGCCCACGTGCACAGAGCACTCGAATCTCATCCCCTGATGGCCAGGGACTCAAATTTGGAAACCTTCGCAAAAATTCCGTTCAAACTGCGGGAGAAGCGGGGAATTCCGTTGGTTCTTTCGGGCTTCTTGGGCTGTCGGAGGGTTTTGTTTTAGTGCTGTTGGTTTTTAAGGTCCCTGGGTCGGTTCCTTATCCCGCCCCAGTGGAAGTGGGAATCACTTTGTGATTGTGGAAATCACCCTGGATTTCAGCAATAAAAAGACACAGGATACATTTATCTCTCTTTTTTTTTTTTTTTTTTTTAATGTTATTCAGGACCTGCTTATTCTTTTCAAGAGTTGCTTGAACGTTGGAAACCACAGGCTCTCCCTGGCTTTTCTTTGCATTTATTTTTGGAACTATTAGGTGCAATAATCAGCCTCCACTAGGCCTGCCCAGGAACCCAAGGCTGGAATTCTGGCCCTGGCTTTTCAGGAGGCCTTAATTTTATCCCTGGTGTAGCTGGAGCTAAACAAAGTGGGAATCAAACAAGAAGCAGCAGTTCAGAAATGAAGAAGTGCTGACTCCTTTCCTCTCTCCAACTCCCAGTTCTTTATTCCAGCAATACCATTTTTTTTTTTAATTATTATTAGTAGTAGTATTATTTTTTTGATGAATCATCTAGAAAGCAGTTCAGGCTTTTGCAGTTGTCTTAAATAGAGGTAAAATTTGTCCAAAACCTCTTAAATTGTGATGTCATGAAGTGTGTGAGTACGTATGCAAATGAGGTAAGCTGCATACACAAATACACGTGTGTGTGTGTATATATATATATAAAAGGTATAAAAGAGCTGTAAAAAACGAGATAATTTTAACTTCTAAGCCCTGTTTTAAATTCTTTGGCTTTGAGGCCTCCACCTGCCTGTTGTTGTTTGGGTCTGGCACGGGGAGCAGGAATGGGGGGCTATTCATAGACCTTTGTGAGCTGAGTTGCTCAGCTCGGGTTTATCTGCAGCTTGACAGGTGCTGCCATCCCCAAAATCTCCACTGCCTCCTCTCCTTCCCATGGGAATGACTAAGGGACAAACTGTGGAGCAGTTGTTGGTTCGTGGGGGACGTTGGACATGTCCAAGATTCATTTGTTGTTCGCTTAAATGGGTTTTTTTATCCGAAATATTCGGGGTTTGGGAGCTTTAAACCGACTTGAAAATGAAAGGCTTGAAAATTCCTTTTTGGGTTTCTAAGAAAGAATAATAGAATTTCATTTATTTCTCAGGTTAAATTCAGCATGCAATTTATATATATATATATATATATTTTTTGTTGTTGTTCTCCAGAGAACATTTTAAAGTGAGCAAGCAGTATTTTAAAAACCCTTATCATGCAACAACATCTGGTAACCAAGACCAATGGAAGCAATATATTAATTCATTGTTCTGGTAGGAGGCAAAATTGAAGCCTGGGATTAAAAATATGTATAATTGTCATAATTTTTGCTTGGTCTGCATTTTTCAGTGGCGTTAAAACCACAATTATTTTGGTGTCTTAACTGAAGGAGGAGTGGCCTGAAATGTAAATAAAAGCTGAAATATTGGGGCCCTTGGTTTGCCTCGCTCAGGAAAATCCCCAAGTGAGGGAACCAGAACAGTTGTCAATTGTTTGCACAACAAATCCTGCTGGATCAAATGGTGCTATTCCCAAGGTTTGGATCTAGGGAGCCATAAGATAATGTTGCCTTGGATCCCCCCCTCCTTACCCCACCCTCTGCCAAAGGAAACAAACACAGCCCGAGTTGGGAGAAAATTTGGCCAAACAGAACCTGGGCCCACATATCATAAATACAGACAGTCAGCTTTTTCCATCCCTACTGCCCAACGCTTGGAAAACATGGAAATTCGGGTTTGGTTGGCCCGTTTCTGGCTTTATTTTTAGTTTTTAAAGCCCTGGTAGGTCGTTGCCAACGTGCTGTTTAGGATTATCTGTTGTGGTAAATCAGAGACTTTATAAAAATATGTGAAATATTTGGGGTTTGTCTTCATCCTTCAAGCTTTTACCTGTCTACTTCATGTATATATATATATATGTATACATACACATATATATATATATGCTATATATATGTGATTAGCCTCCCTAGAATGAGTACAAATGTCATGGGTTTGGGGTAGGTCCGAAGCTGTAGCATTGAAAACAATAAACAGCTATCACTGGCCTTATATTTTGTCTGTGTTTGCCCCTAACCTGCTTAATTTAATTCAATTTTTGACTTTTAAGACTGATGCAACCGAGCTTTATGCATCTATTTAGGGTTTTTTAATATATATATATATATAAAAGTATGCTGTCAG